AACACAAGGAGGTAACATCTTAAATTCCACTTTATTTTCAAAATCAGTCTTTACCTATTGTATCCTACAGTTTCACCAAAACCATTGCACCTAAAGTATTTAACTATAAGCAAGCATTACATAACCTTGATTTAGAAGAATACCTAAAAAAAACCTTCTTACATGTGACTGTTCCAATTCGCCTTATATTTACACATCAGTTGGAACCATAACTTCAAAATGATTATGAATTCCATTGAGGACTACGCCAGAGCATGGGCTAAACGAAAAGAAGTTGAACTGGGCACTTTGTCAGAATAGGTCAAAACAACCAGGTCTCTGATAAAACGTCGAATTCATCAGTTAAAAAAAATTGTGTGAATGATCAACTAAAGTCCATTTTCAGAGACGAAGAAGCTGTGAAATGCTATCATTTCTTCGCGATAAATATGCTGTTGTTCCTGCGGACAAAGCTGAAAAAATATTGTCTTTGTATGTAAATCGTACTACTACGAGAGTCTTGTAAAAGAATTAGGAATAAATGAGAACTCGGGTAATCCCACATCCAAAAACATATCATTTGACAAGGATGAGATTTTGGCGAATCATAAGTCCTTCATGGCTTCAATGAACATTACACTGAACAGGAAATCTGATGATTTACATTGTTGTATTGGATACCAAAGCTTCACAAAATTCCGTACAAACAACGATACATTACCGGCTCATCTACATGTTCTACAAAGGAATTGTCCCTTAGATTGACAAAAATGCTGTCCGCAGTGAAAGAGGTTCTTCAGAAGTACAGTGAAACTGTTTACTCGCGTAATGGTATTAACCATATGTGGATTCTACAAAAATTCTAAAGAACTTCTGGATAATTTTAAATCTCGATCATTCTCTGAAATTTATACTATCAAAACTTTTGAATTTTTCAACCCTGTATACCCCCATTCTCCATGTAAAATTGAAAAATCGTCTGAAAGAAATAATTTACAATGCTTTTCAAAATAAAAATAGTATCTTTCGCTATAAATTTATTTCCTTGGGATAGCATATGGCATATTTGGTTAATAGTGAACAAAAAGGTAAAACATGCTACACAGAGGAACAAGTGAGCAGTAAACTTGAGTTTCTTATTGACAACAGATTTGTTGAATTTGGAGGTAGACTTTTTCAACAAATTGTCGGCATTCCTATGGGAACGAACTGTGCGCCTCTCCCTGTCGACCTCTACTTATTTTCATATGAGACGGAGTTCCTTAAGACACTTATCAAACACAAGTAGATCACGGAAGCCATATCATTTAATTTCACATTCAGATATTGATGATGTTCTTTCCATTAACAAGTCAAACTGCTCAAATGGAAGCAGTATTATAACTAATTCGTGAAGGATTCCACGGAACCCTCTGTCTTGCTTAAGATTGTTGCTGTCAGTTTAAAAGTGTAATGTTGACTGTAACAAGTTCATTTACCTGTAAAAAGTTTGTTTTTCTGTAGATGCTTTATCTTGATCTTGAAGATTAACTCCTATACAAATTTTTATAATAGTTCAATGAGGTTTACAAATTTAATTATGACAAAACAGTTTAATTCGGTAATACTTCCTGCAAAAAAACTTATATAAAAATAAGAAGATGTGGTATGATTGCCAATGAGACAACTCTCCACCACATACCAAATGACGTAGAAGTTAACAACTATATGTCACTGTATGGCCTTCAACAATACGCAAAATCCATACCGGATAGTAAGCTATAAAAGCTCCTGAAATGACAAATGTAAAACAATTCAAACGAGAAACCTAGCGATATAAATGATGAAGACGCCGACGCGACATGAATGTCGCAGGTTCGACACAAATCAAATGACTTGTACTTTATTGTCAACAAATGAGACACTTTTAATCAACTCACACGTAAGTTACAGGGAAATAAGAGACAAAGCAACAATTCTATAAAATAAGAATTCTTCGATTTTTTTTTTAGCGTGTATGATCATTTGAACATATACGAATACCAATATTTTATTTTTGTAAATTGCATTCCCTGATATACCTCGCACTATTTGAAAAAAAAACTTTTTGGAATATCTGTTTCACAGGTGACGACGGATATGTTCCAATTGTAGTAATCACAATCCCGTTCTCTTTTTCTCGAATGTGACCTACCGAATTAGACCAAATCACTCGGTTTGTACTTTCACGAATAACACGACGGGTGCCACACATTGAGCAGGATCTGCTTACCCTTCCGGAGCACCAAAGATCACCCCCGGATTTTGATGGATTTATATTGCCCAGTCATACCGATCTATCGAGTTAAGCCAATTGCAACTGATTTTTACAGTTTTTCTTATGTTGTGCTGTTACACTATTGTCCCAGGTTAGGGTTAGGGCTGAGCGCTCAAAGACATGTTTAACTCTGCCACATTCCTTATGTGCCTGTCCTAAGTCAGGAGACTGTAGTTTAATGGTAGTCGTTGGTTCATGTTTGTCATATTTGGTTTTCGTAAATTGTTTTGTTATAAATTAGCAACAATAAATATTGCCGACTATACGGTGTATTGAAGGCCGTACGGTTGCCTATACTTGCTAACATATACTGCATTTAAACTCTGATGGATAGTTGTCTCATTGACAACCATACCACATCTTTTAACTTTAGATTTCTATATTGTGTTTTGTATACTGTAACATTGTTTATCTTTTGTGCGCATACCCCTAAGCCCTCTTTTCGGAATCCCGAGTAAAAGCCCTCGATCATCGATAGAAAATTTAAATACGAACTAATATTTAATCTAAATGAGACTCAAATTCGAAGTCTAACTCGAACTCTACCTCAAAAGGTGACTCAAATTCAAAGTTGAAGTCGAATTGTAAATCGCACTCTGCCTTCAAATGAGACTCAAGCTCGAAGTTCAACACGAAACTCAATGCTTACTCGAACTTTAATTCTAATTATGCCTTGGATTCTAACTTAAAATCGAAGACTAACTCGAAGTGTAACTCGAATGTTATCCCTAACTTTAATTTTAACTTTAACTGGATGGATGGCCACACTCATCCGAGGCACATTAAACATGGAAATTGGTTCTAATAATAGAACTAGTTTTTCCCAAATTGTCACGTGGTTTTACCTCATGACAGACCCACATCAATTACTGGAACGAACACATCATGTAGTGTGAAATCGTCAAATTTTGAAACATCATTATGTAATGTTAAAGCCATATAAAGAATTGGCAAATCATCATTACGAAATAACAAAACCACATCATGTAATGAAACAATTATATTACGTTAAGCCACATACACCTCAAGTAATGTTAAAACCACATTGTCTAATGACACAACCACATTAAATAATTGTGAAACCACATCGAGTAATGACAAAACCATATTAAGTAATGACAATACTATATCAAGTCAATACGAAACCATATCATGTAATATCGAAATATCATTAAGTAATGACTATTCCACATTGAGTTATATCATAACATCATTACGTAATGTCAAAACCATATTATGTAAAGACAAAATATCATCAAGTAATAATAAAACAAAATAACGTAATATCAGAGTACCACATAAGACAGCTGTGGCGTTCCATAGAAATTGCAGGTGTCCCCTTATCACCAGACATGACAAATATCTCGTATATGACACATGCAGATTATCATACTAATGACAATAGCAATTATCTGAGTATGCGACCGTGTTCAGTTCAACAACAAGACATTTAGGACTTTGATGACTCTGAACAACACTGTCTCATTTCTAAATGTAAAACCAAAAACCAAAAAACCTGTAAATTTGCATCACATATTCTCAATTTACAAATAATCGAACTTAGTAAGTACTTCAGCACTGACATGATTTATAACAAACCTATCTAAAATTGACCGTTGATAAATTTTGAAATTGTTAGAAACTAAGGTTTCAACTCCTTCAGGCAAAGTTGACCTTAGATGGATTTGGCTATTTTTTGTTAGGTCCTTTATTGGTTATATAGCTCTTCAACTGTTTCGGTTCTTATACATCCTTGGCTTTCAAATATTCGGCTTTAAGCGTTTCTGACGAAGGTAAATCCAGAAAAGCGCTTTGGAAGCATGAAATGTATAACGTGTTGTTTTCATTTTTTTTTCAAACTTCACCAGAACCTACGATGATCTGAGTTGTAAATCAACATATTTCTTCTACGAATTAGAATGTAACCTATGCGGATTGTTATATGTCGTTGAAACGAAAATAAGGTTTAATAAACATATGTGCGGCCATAGATGCAAATGACATTGTTTACCAGCATTTTAATAAGCCTGATCATTCAATCTTTCAATCTAGTTTGCATCATCGAAAAAATATACAACAGGACTAACAATCCTCATCTTGCAACCCTTCTTCGTAGACAAAAAAAAAAGACTGCTGAAATCGAGAATTGGGAACTGCGACATCATATGAGTGCAATGACTAAATTGATGGTATACAGTAATAAGTATTATATCCAATTTTCTCAACCTTGGTAGATGGGATAAACATTTTCAACTCCTCGACGTAGACGCAGTCATGGTCATTGTCAGTATACTTCACATATTATTCATGATGTATCTTTTAATGACCTTCTGCCATTTATACAAACGCCAATCACATTCTCACGAAGCTTTTTTTATTGGTCTTTTCAAGCTCATTCACTGTACAACTTATCTACTAACCCTCCCGCAGACACCTGAGATCACAACCGGTTTTTGGTGGGGTTGGTGTTGCTCAGTCTTTAGTTTTCTTTGTTGCGTTTTGTATACTGTTGGTTGTACTTCGGTGTCTGTTTTAGTTTTTTGCCATGGTGTTGTCAGTTTATTTTCGACCTATGAATATTAATGCCCCTTTGGTATATTCGCCTCTTTTACACCATAAGTTAGTCGGTGCTCCTAACGAAAAGAGGCTCATACAGAGCATACATACACACACAACATACATTATATATTTGCAATTCGAAAGTCCCACATGTGAAAAAAGGATATAGAATATAAGAAGTTTAATGTAGAGCAAAATCACAAACTATCCGTGTTTTGACCACTTTTATTACGTCGGATATCTGCGTTTATATCATGAAGCTTGATCAGTTCGTCTGTTCATTTATCCTGCAAAATATATATAAGAGTTATTAACACATATTATCATCGATGGTTTCCTTGAAAAAGGGGTGCTGATTACAACGAAGCTACAAAACCAACTGATAAAGTTAAAGTCATACCTTCACTAATTTTACGGACTCCATCACGATTTGATTGACCGTTATGCCCTCTTCACATACACGGATTTTTCTTACAAGCTCTTACGGATCGTCAACTCTTAGTCAATCACAAGCATCCGTAAATGACTTGCTGGTATCCGTAAATAACTCGTAACAACTCACAACGACTCGCAGAAACTCTTAAGGATCCGTGAAAGGAGGGGCAATTTTTTTTACATGTCAAAAATCGTCATACGACATTTTATTATTCTAACGGTCTATATCTGGTATACAACTTCATTAGCACCATTGCATGTAATGCGTCAAAGATCTAGAAGTTATTTCATTCGTACGGTTTGGAATTGCGAGTATTTATATATTTTGTTTATATATAAATTAAGAACAAATATCAAATCATTTCATAGCTTATGAACATAGTCCAATAAAAGAGGGACGAAAGATACCACAGGGACAGTCAACCCCAATAATATCTCCTTTTTTTCTTATTGCGCATTGACCACTAATACAAAGACAAATGTATAATTCTATTTTTGGTATTGAAAAAGATTGGGAAAATGTAATTACTCTGTATTAAATACAAAAGAGTATTCCAGGAACTTTATCTCTAGATAATACTCACTGGATGTTAAGTATCCAACAATCAATCAATCAATCTAGATAAAACTCTTAAATTTAACACTTATCTTAATTTATAACATGTAAGATCTTGAGATGACATAGTCCTATAACCTGTAAGATCTTGAAATGACATAGTCCTATAATCTGTAAGATCGCGAGATTTACCGCCTTGCTTACTCCAGTAAATATGAAGTCACGGTATTTATTTTATCAAAATAAGCATAGATTTGCTGCAAAGTAGGGAAGACAAACACTTATTGTAATACAGGTTGATCTTGTTTGGCTAAGGTAGAATTATAAAAACCTCATAAGTCTTTTTTTCTGTTGGTTATAAATAAATTAATGGCGTGTTTTTGTATTCATTTCAGAAAAAAATAGATTTCAATTCACATTCATGTTAAGCTCTTAATGTTGTTGTATAATTATTTTATTGTGAGATTGCTGTCTCATAGACCTTTACCCAATATCTCCTTTTTTTTCTTATTGCGCAATGACCACTAATACAAAGACAAATGTATAATTCTATTTTTGGTATTGAAAAAGATTGGGAAAATGTAACTACTCTGTATTAAATACAAAAGAATACTACAGGAACTTTATCTCTAGATAATACTCACTGGATGTTAAGTATCCAACAATCAGTCAATCAATCTAGATCAAACTCTTAAATTTAACACTTATCTTAATTTCCATCAACAGCTGAATAAAATAGATATTGATTTGATGTAAAGAAAGAACATAAGAAGAATCTTAAATTGAATTAAAACTAGTAAAATCCAATAATAACCTTCAATGGGTTCTGTCCTACACTTCACTCCAACAGTACCGATGTAAATTGCTGTTGTCCCAGTTTCCCATTCAACATTACACTCCTCTAAATCGCTAGCATTTGGAGGACATTTGATGTCGTCTATCCACATCTGTCCCTTTCCGGGAGGGATATTATCATATTTCGGCATACCTCCATACCTATATAATTATTGGTTGCACTTGTAAAAAAAGGTTCATGTCGCATGTTCATTTCTTTAGTCGCATGTTATGTTCGATAATACTTGCATCTATATTACATGTTCATGTAGTCATTCGGTCATCAATTTTGTTGACCTGTATGTACTTAAATCTACGGTGGGTTCGTGTTGTTCAGTCTATGGCGTTGTCAGTTTATTTTTGACTAATGAGTTTGAATGTCCCTTTGGTATATTTCGCCTCTTTTTTCGGGATAAGAAGTATATATTTCTCAGATGATACGATATTCTAAAACCTGCATTTCCTATCATGATTCTCTTGATATAGGGTTGCTGCACACAAGGCATATTTGTTACCGAGAGTGCTAACTTAATGTATGAATTTAAAGTCATCCCTTCGACAGTTTTACGGACGGTATCACAAGCTGGTTGACCGTTATAGAACATCTGTGTCACCTGCATGAGCAACACGACGGAGCTGAAATTGTTTCCCCTTCCAGAGCACCTGAGTACGTTTTTTGCCAAGGGTTGTCAGTTTTTCTTCGCATTATTAGTTTTTAGTGTCCCCTTGGTATCATCCACCTCTTTATCAAAATGTTTTATTTCGAATTTTTCACTAGTATATATATTCAATTTGCGAACGTCAAATCTCATATCGTGGGTAACAACTCTACACAGCAATGTTATCGTCAATTGTGACAAAAACACACTAAGATACCACAAAATATATACCATACTATGAGGTTTCTGACTTGCGTAGGGTATAGCATCAAACTCGGGCAATCCTCGATAGATACACTAAACATCCTTCAGCATATTTTTCCCCCGCGTCATACGGCTCAACGCTAATTAATGCAAATTTAAATTTAAAACTGTTATTTCGAACCAGTATAGCAATGAAATTGTTTCAATACTTACTTATATCCCATCATTTTACAAAACACGTTTGCTTCCGGATTACCAAACGATGTTGCCGAAGTTCCCCAAATGTTGTTGTGTAAAAGTTCAACTCGTCCTTCGTTTTCTTCATTCGACCCTGCTAGTCGAACACGCACTTCTGGATTAATACCTTAAAAGGAATTTGATAAAAACAAGTAGTTCTGACTATTGTGTCGTTTAACAATTTGTTTTTTTACATAGATATTAAAACATTTACTGAAACATGAATTCCGTAAGTGTTGTTATTTGAACAATTGAGACAAGAAAAGGTCCTTTTCTGTTATCAATACTAGTGCCATGAGATAATTTATAGTGTTTATTTTATTTTCAATTTCATAAACCAAACATTTAATTTCTTCAATTACATTAGTAATTCTTCATTCATATTTGCTTTAAATAACTAAAATGAATGAAAATGGAGGCAAACAATCGTCAACTTGAGTGATTGGAGCATTATTTTCTATGCATGAAATAATTTCAATGCTCATATTGCTCTTACGTCATAATTTATAGCCTCATAATTATATTTTTCTTGTTTATTTCTTTTTCTTGAAGCTTATTTTGTTGGTTGCCCAATTTAATTAAGGAATGACTGTAATATTTTTTCTGTCTATGAAGAAATAACATCAAAAATGTGGTGCACACTGAATAACCCGCGTAGCGGGTTATTTTAAAGTGTGCACCACATTTTTTATGTTATTTCGAATAGACAGAAAAAATATTACAGTCATTTCTTGTAATTTAATTCTGAATTCCATTTTAAACCGGAGTAAACCATGAAAAAACGTTGATGACGTCACGGTCACATGACAAAATTATGTATATGAGCTGATAAACAAAACAACGTCAGCCAATCAGAAGACGCGTTACATCCAAAATTAAATTATATTCGAATAATAAAAGTGTCCGTACAGATGAACATATTAAGAGTTTATTAAACCCCGTAACAATCAGGTATGTTGTCATATTAGGCATGATTGTTGCCTTTACACTTACTAATTTCCGTATCGGTCCAACATCTTATAGCCAATGCCATGGAAATTCCAAGATCACATCCACATGATGTTGCTTCACAGCGTTCTCCCCAGTCCGTATGCCTACATTCATTAAAATGCATTGCGTTCTCGGGGCATGATAGGTTTTGCAAATATTCTCGGGTCATATCCAATGAACTATTCGAAAGGTAAATATCTTGTTTCATATAACTCCAACCACCAAACCTTGAGCAAGATAAAAAATACAGGTTAACATTTATGTAAGGTATCTGCTATTACATCCCTTTTTGAGAACGTACGTTCTGTTTGTGCTACTGTAAATTCTTATAATAAAAAATTCACGGATATTAAAACATGTATCATAATTATGATTTAATGAAACCACGAAACAGATCACTGTAAACTTGTCGTGACTAAATATCTCGTAAAATCGATTTCCTTATATTCTCCTTTTCAGTAAATAATTGAATTTCGTGTGAAATTACATTTTAAACTGAACTTTTATTACAAAGTCAGCTCCAAGAAAGTTTTCACACTTCTCCTGATTTGGTTATTTATTATATCACAAAAATGCTATATTATTTTGTTCACACTACAATCAAATATATATACAATATAATGTTAATAGGTTTACCGTACTCCCCCAACTGCTTCGTGCCGAATACAAAAACAAACAAAAAAGTTGATACTTTTCTTATATTGATCTTATATTGTTAAATGTCAACACAAAATAAGAATTATTTTCCATCCCGAAACGAGCCCCATATTTTGAGGACAAGTGGCGTAACGAGAAATCAACATTGCACGAGATATAGCGAGATATCACTTTGTTACTGTAGTTGGGTAAATAAATACCATGCTGCAATATTATTACGTTTACTTACCTGAAACCAAGAGTGTGACAAAGAGTATTGACTTCTGACTGCCCGTTGATTCCGTTGAAGCACACAAATCCCCAGTGTCCATTTAGAAAAACTTCAACAACACCTTCACGTAAATCTTTGAGATCCATACCTGGTATTTTTACTGTCAAACGAATTGGTACATCTGGAACTGAAGCCATTACTTCAGGTGTTAAACATTTTCCATTAAATTTCACAAATACAACTTAACTTAATATAGTTTCCATACAGTGTTTATGCGCACAGTAAAATAAGACCTTAAAAAGTATTAACCCTTTCATTTTTTTCAAACCAATTTTGACTATTGAGATGGGTCACAAGATACCTCCCCTTGATTTGCCTTATTCAGTATATGTTAGGAAAGTTGAGAGATTAAGATATCCCATCACTGGACCGGATTTTAACGGATATGAGCAAATGAAGGTTCATTGAAATTCAAGTCTTACCAACTTTAATGCTGTTTATAGTGCAAATAGACGGCGATGAATTATGAAAAAACTTGAAACGAATAAAAGAATTAAATATTAATAGAAGCTATCAGTTAGAAAAACTCATTTATTTATCGTTCTGTGTCCAGCATCCAATCGACTGTTCGTCAAGATTTGAAGTAGTTGACGTGAAGCACGTGTGATGTATTGTCATTATAAAATGTACAAAAAATGAAGTAATCAAAACAAGGGACCAAAGAAGTGACATGATTTAACAATCATGCTTCATTTATTATTTAGATTTCAAATATATAAGATATTGTTTGATGTGAAACAAAACAGATGTAGATAAAAGATGAAGAAAACACATACTAACAATGCTTACATTTACTTCATTTGAACTTTGGTGGATAGTTGTTTAATTGGCAATCATACCACATCTCCTTATTTATATAAGATACTGCATTATTACATACTTTCCAAAGGCTGTAATCTACACGTTACTCCAACCAAAAATCTACAGTCGGTCTTTGGTTCTGGACAGTAGCACTGACTTATATCTGTAACATTCGGAGAGCATCGGAGTCCAAATATACACATTCGATTCCTATTTCTTCTTGAGGTAAGTAGTGTTTTAAACACAGGCCTATCATCTATTAATCGATTACGTGGTACTCCTCCATACCTGCATAGACAAACTATTTACTATTTACCGAAATGGAAGATTGTAGGTTGTGTTAAAAAATAAAATAAGGAGAAATAGTATGATTGCCAGTGAGACAACTATCCACCAAAGACAAAGTGACGTAGATGTTAGCAACTGAAAGTCACAGTATGGCCGCAAATATACACTTCACAACAAGCTTAAAAAAAAAGCCCTAACATTATATAAAAAAAAACTAATATCAATTCAAACGAAAATCCAAGAGCCTGATTATGTACAAAACCAACAAGCGAAACACAACCATTATATATAGTAACAAACGGTAGCACTGAATTACAGGTTCCTGACTTGGTAAAGGCACATACCGAATCGGACGGAGTTTAACATGCTTGCAGGCGCCCAACCTTCCTCTAAAATACGACAGCGGTGTTACAGCGCAACCTAAGAACAAACTATTAAATTCAATTGAAAAAGCTTGACACATCAGATCGATACAAATCGCAAAAAAAAAAAAACAAACAAAAACAAAATTACTAAAAACACAAAATACCGATCTGAGATCCTAGAAATTGCTGAAAGCTAGTTCCAAGCAAAACATAACTACAAAAACATCATATATATCAAAAACAAAATATCAATCAGTACACATCCAATGTACCAAGTCAGGAATATGACAGTTGTTTTCCATTCGTTAGATGTGTTTGAGATTTTGATTTTGCCAATTGTTCAGGGATTTTCCGTTTTGAATTTTCCTTGGAGTTCAGTATTTTTGTTGTTTTACTTTTTAGTGTAAAGATTTCATAAACAGAGTAGAAAAAAAATTAACCTAGTGCAATGCCAGAAAAATAAGTATCGACAGAATGTAGAACTGTAGGCCTTGATAACTGTTTAATATTATACCTATTTAGTAATGTTTTAATTTATTGATAAGAACATGCATGTTAATTCCGATGAAAACAATATTCAAACTTCTTATAACAATGTTAAATCGATAACCATTCAGAACAAGTTTATTTTACTCTACTGGTATCTGAATATCTAAGATCGTGAAAACATGTCGCTATTGAAATGCATCGACACGGCGTATCCATCATCTAATTCGTGTTGGTGACCAATAATGTTATGAAGTGTCAATTTCAGTCGTCGTTCTAACTCTGTTGAAACAGTTTTTCGAGCGTAAAGTATTAACTGAGATAACTAAACGCTATGGATGGAGCAGACGTTACTGTTGAGAAGTGGGAAGTTCAAAATTGCAAAGTTAAAATAATCATGTTTGCCGTAGATTCTATTTTAAAGTCATCCACCTGTGTCAAACTGGAGGAAAAGATCAAGACATGAAACAGACATTCTCCTTCTCTTTCGGTGGCATTCTTAATAAAAGGTTCAATGGGATATATGAGATGTAAACACTCAATGAATTGTGGGTTTTTGAGTGACGGGAATCATCAATATGTCCGAAAGAGAAATTTTGAAGGATGTTTGTCTTTCGATTTTGATGAAGTTGCTTTATGAATTCAAATTCGAACCCATTGGAAGACCAACTGTCTACTGAAATATAAACTCAAAAAATATGTCGACCATAAAAAAAGTTCAGCATTTAGATCACATCATTTTCAGTGTAAGGGTTGAAGGAATCAGAGTGGTTCTTAACAAAGTATGATTTTTCATGACCTAAAACAGGGAATTTGTACGTTGCAGTCGATCTTTCAATTGAGCATGGATACAAATAGTGTTAAGCGTAGAAAAAAAAAAAAGATTATTATATTACTGCACATTTGTGATTAAAGATTTTGGAGTAGATCTTTAGAATATTTATTAATCCACCTCTGATTGACACCGCTGGATGAATATACATCATCACAATATTATGAAGACTATATTTTACTGTACAATGAATTGTGTTAATTCGAACATCTTGCCAACACATGATTTTTGTGATTTGGTTATCCAGTATAAAGATATGAGAATTTCATCGTCCTTTTTTTTTTTATCTTAATACCAAGGAAGAGAGGACGGATTTGTGAATTTCTAAAATCTCCTCTTTCTTAGATGATATAGGGGGATATGTTAGATTTCAATTTTTGCTGTGAATTCCAAGATCTTTAGTGAGGCATTCCAAATAATATTTTTTGCATATACAACAATATAGTTTGAGGCTTTGTCTGCTGAAGCAACAACACATTTGTTGTGAAAGACGATATAGCATTTAACGTAAGGACACTTGTCTTTTTTAAACTTGTCTGTTGACCTTTTCATGTCTTTTCCAGATTTACGGGTTAGCGTCTCGTTTAGGTATACCACATGTCGCCTTTCAAAGAGTGAAACGCGAGACCGAATAGAATAAATGAAAAAAAAATCTAACTTTTTCCTTTTTAATCTGTCAAGTTTAGTTAGACAGGCATAATAATTACAAATAAGATACTAAAGTTTTCATAGAGGAGCAACATCAGCTGTCATGTATGCCTTTAGTTGTTGAGGGTCTGTTAAACGTCATTCATGTAGCGCTTTAGAAGATATAAGGTGGTGTTACAGAGAAGAGAAATAAGAACAATAAATGGAGACAAACTAATCCGTTATCAAAAACCTTCAAAGGCCTCTAAAAACTTTAAAAAAAAATCAATTTTTAATATGCCGCCTTAAAACGCTTTGGGTCCGTAGTCAAATATAATATATGTCAGTTAATTGGCAACGTCATAATTGGTTTTACTATTACAATTTACTCCCATGGCCTCGACAGTTTTCAAAAAACACAGAAACAAATAAATAAAGGATGACACGGATTTGTTTAAAGCACGATTTCGTAAATAAAAGTCAGTTTAAATTGGATATTTAGTAGAACTCGAATGGGTAAGTTTTAAAATTGTGAAAAACTTTACAAACATTCTAACCGCCTGTAATTGGGGAATCGTTTGATTAAGAATGTCACGTATTCATTTATTCGCCGTGTACGTCAATATTAATATTAAAAGTGTGGTCAATTACGACAAGAGCAAATATATAATTTGATCTAGAGCGCCTCGATCAAAATATTCTCCTAGAATCAAATAATCCATGGGGCTTCAATTTTGATTTTACCACAGGTTGGCGCTTCATACCAATATTTTACCCATTATTATTGCTTGTGGTACATTATTTTGCATTAAAGTGCAAATCCGTGTTTAAATCAATATAAACTCCAGCCCACATTAATTATTTCTTTACAAATATGTACATGTAATTTATAAGGAACTTTGAATATGTCAAGATGATTGCACTACAAACATATATTGTATATACTACCAAGAAATATACTAAATGGTTTACATACGGATATCCAAGTGATCGACACACTAAGGATGCCTCTATTGTACTGAAGCCCCGGAAGTCAAATCGATTCCATTTGTTTCGTTGGAGAACTTCAACAAGTCCTTCCCCTTCCTGTGTATATGATTCCAGTCTAGTAGTGGTTAATACTGATTCTAGAATTCATATAACTATCATTGTTGTATGTTTTATTATATGATGCCCCTTTTTACACATTGAGAAAATAAATAGGCCATTTTCTGATGATTGAAAAAACATTTTGATTATATAAAAGTAAAATATTTTCCCATGGCCCAAGTTTTCCATTTAAAGACATATATTCGAAAAGTGCCATAAAAAGACTTTTAGAGTATATATTGGCTCCATGAGTGTTGATCCCAATATATAGATATAAGTAGATGTGGTATGGCTGCCAATAAGACAACTCTCCATCCAAGTCATAATTTGTAAAAAAGTAAACCATTATAGGTCAAAGTACGGCCTTCAACACGGAGCCTTGGCTTGTACTGGCTCTATTGGTGCTGTGGATGTTGATCTCAATATATAGCCTGCGATTGTTCTGTGTATTTCTTAAATTATACTGTTTATTGTGTTTATGTTTATATAAAAAAAAACAATCTGGAATACCTTTACTACTAGTCAGTCAGATTAAGGTTTGCAGCTACTGAAAGCATGTAAAATATTCAATCTTTAGATGTTTAAATAGGTCGTTCTACAGTATGATTGAATAACAATATCAATAGCCATTATCAATGA